TACGCTTAATTAAGACTTCGATTGGGTAGTTTTCTTTTAAGTAATAGGAAGTATTTTGAAGGTTATGTTTGTTTCTCTTGTATTTTTAATTTGAAACCGTATGTTATTACTATCGGTCGAACTATTTCACCCTTTTTCCCCAACCTTCTAACATCTTCTACTGGGTGGCGCAAAAGTACTGGCACTAAAGAAAATTTGTTTATTTTTTTTATATGACATTTCCTGTCATTCTGTAGTTGAAAACACAACGTGAATTTCGTCGACGATTTCCCCACCGTCCGGCACCGATTGGTCGCTAGACGAGCTCGGTGGTCAGTAGGCAGCAGCTGATGAGTCATTTGAGTTTTATACGGGAACATCTTTAAGTCTTTCACCAAAATACGCTGCAGGGTCCATCTGGAAATGCCCAATTGCGTGGCACGTCGCCTTGTTGATGTTTCTGGACACTCTTCCACATATTCAAGCACAGCATCAATATTTTCAGCTGAACGGCCTGTTCTTGGTCTCCCAGACTTAGGTCTATCCAATGTTGAGCCAGTTGCTTCAAGGCGTGTGGCAAAGCGTCGGATTGTGCGAGCAATCGGTGCCGGACGGTGGGGAAATCGTCGACGAAATTCACGTTGTGTTTTTATGACTGATGAATTATTCCGTAAGAACATTGACACGATTATTCCACGTACTTGGGGAGTAAAACGGTCCATTTTTATTTTCATTGTATTTTACATTTGTTCACTACACAATTTTCAACAACAGAATGACAGGAAATGTCATATAAAAAAAATAAACAAATTTTCTTTAGTGCCAGTACTTTTGCGCCACCCAGTATATGACAAGAGATAGTAGGTTGAAATGGACCTAAAATATTACAGAATAGCAACCACGAGATAGAAAAAGGAAAAGAGGGAGACAGAGAAAGAGATGGGCAGACGATGTAAAGAGAATAGGAGGCACAACTTGGACAAGACGAGCTAACATTAGAAAATAATGGAAGCAGCTGGAAGAGGTATATGTGTCACAGGACACGCTGAATACATCAGCTATTAAGTTAGGTTATGTAACTTAAACGAGTGCTTATATATATTATACTCGGTGTCAGCAATAAAGGCTTAATAAAAATAAAACTTCGAGGTGACTTTAAGTTTGAAGATGTTATTATTATTAGGAAATCGTTAAGTCTGACATGTAGCCTAGACAAGTTAGCAACAAGTTTTTTTAACTATGTACCTATAAAGACGTTTAAAATAGTTTTACTGTTGGTTTTATTAAAAAGTTGGCGTAGCAGTTCGATTCGAGAAACAAGCTATAACATTGTTTTCTAAATACAGACTATTGCTTCTAGGAACTACACTTATAACTTTACATTGTATTACCTACAGGATACATCATTTTTAACTGATTCCAAAAACACCTGTATGCATCCATATGCTTATATTTCGAAGCTCCCCAAAAATTGAATTAAAAAAAATCCATTGGTGCACCACCGGGATCGAACCTACGACCTAAGGTATGACAGTCGCACGCTGAGGTCAACACTGCAAAAATCCAATTTACATTCCACAAATCTAAATTTATAGACTTAATCCCGATTGCTTAATTGCAAAATATATAATTTTCGCTTGTTTACCTACACTAATTAAATATTAATGGCGAAAATAAATATATATTAATTTCACATTTGTCTAACGGTAGTACAATTAACGGGAAATTAGCAGACAAAGGGAATACACGAGCTACGTGGCTGTCAAAACGTGAATTCAAAATAGAAAAGTTTGTGTAATGTATTCCATCTCATTCTTTTACACGTTCAATCCATTTGTCTCTTTCTACATAACGCCTCATAAAATTTCCGTACCGGGCCTTATAACTCAAATCGTTTCTTAAGGAGTAAACTCCAAAAACTCATGGATTTTGGGAGTGGACGGGTACTGCAACTGCAAAAGAGTTGCTGCATCTAGCATAGGACAAAACACGCTAACCTCCTAGGCTAACCTCCAGTAACGGAACCAAAAGAAGACTTATACATTCTTGTAACACTGATACTTTAGACTTTATATTAATACTTAATTTAAACCATACACGAATAATATTTAATGAAAGCTGGGTGTTTTATAACAGATATATAAAGAGAGATGAATTAAGCCTGATTATAATTTAGAGTTTTTGTAATACAAGTACAATCTAAAGTTAAGTTTAAACCTCGCAAGCAATTTTTTTTGTGCTATCAAACTCCTTGAATGTATGATTCAAGGAGGATAATCAGATACTTTTGAAGATTTGTTACAGAAAGGATATACACGTGTAAAAATGACATGAGAACTTAAGTATGCGCAAACAGACCTATGCAATTAAAGAAAAAAGCTTTTACCGGATTAAACTTATGTATTATTATAAACGGCCTAAAATTGTCAAACACCTGGGATCCAATAATATCCAAATTAAAATTTCAAAAAGAAAAACAATCCGCGAAACTAGAGGACACCGTGAGCCATTTTTGCCAAAACCCTCCATCTTTTAGTCGATTCCAACTCCGGGGAAATAAATACAGATAATGCAACTTTCTCTACAGCTGTGATACTTTTTGACATTCAACAACTTTTGTCTTCAGTCACCGTGACCACGCACACTGTAAAGCACGCAAAACGTCGGATAAATTTAAAATTATGTCAAAAAAAGGGTGCGTGTACTTATGTACGCGCGTAAGAAGTTATACTTCTTTGGCATTATTAAAAATAGTTTTTGATTGCATGCAAATAATTAATTACAATTAAATAATCAAAGACTGGAAAAGGAGTCATTAAAGTCAATAAAGTTCAGTATACATTTGAAAAATTAATTAAATAAATATTTATTATTATTCTCTTACATTAAACAAATAAAACACTATTTATCTTTAAAACATTTTCATTTCATTATACTATTTATTTTTAAGTGACTCTAATGTCTTCATCAGAATTTCGGTTTGTAATTTTAAATTAATCATTACTTCGCATGCAGTAATGCATCTACGAGGCTTCTCCAAAACTGCTTTCTGCAACAAATAAGAGAATATTAACTTAAGCTCTGTCCATGCAAAAGTTAAAATTTTGTATAATTCATATTATAAAATTTTTAACACATTTATATTATTATAGTTATATAAATGTGTTAATAATATAATTTGTAGCACATGCTACAGACCTGAATAGCAACTTTCTTTTATTCTATTTAGAGATAGAGATAATTTAAATATAATATCGGTGTCTTCCTTGTAGGTTTCTTTGGAGTTGTTTGGGGATTCTTGTTGTTCAGTTCGACATGATTTTCTTTAACCTTTCTTTAATCCTACAAAATAATGAAATTGTTAAGTTATGTTGTCACTGTTGTGCACACCTTTGTTTGGCTTTTTTAGTATTAAAGTTATGTCAAAACTGATTTATTACCTTGTCATTGTTGGCTTTATTTGCTTTTGGGATATCAATTGTTTCCAAAATGATTTAATTTGTAATATCCTGAAATATATAAATAACATCTATTAATTTAAGTATCATGGTGAGTGGTTCGCACTCAGGTATTAAGGTGTATTATACCCACTGTCCATTATAAGTGGGAATGGGCTCACTTCTGGCTGGACAGAGTTTCGGTACTACAAGTGCAACATGGATGTTTTGAGGTATTACAATATCTCTAACTACCCTGTAGGGGAATAAAGTACTGTTGTGAGCATATACCTATGCTTGAAAGGTTGAACCTTGAACATCACCATACATCATATTTATAATTAACATTCCTACCTCGACACCATCACAATCAAATTCATTGAAATCTACTTCAAACCGTTGCGGTATCATCTCTGCCATATCCATTGTGTCTCGAGAAGGTGATGGTGGCTTTGTTCCACCTCCAGTTTTTCATGTTTCACGGCGATAAGCTGATTCAATTTAGTGCACTTCCACTGATTCATCAATTGTTTTTTGTCTCTTGTCCATATATTTGCTAGATTAAATCTGAAAAATTACATGTTTTGATTAAATAATGTGGTCATTTTTTTGAGATGCAGGTACTTATTAAAATGTTTACTTCTCTGTTATATCGCTCCAAGCCTTCATTTTCTCCTTATTAGTATTCGTGCTTAAATCTTTGTTCTCAATTATTGATATATAGGGTCGTAGAATATTTCTAAAAAGTTGCTGTAACAAACGCAATAAACAAAAGCAATGAATAATGGTTCATGTTTCAGTTTTAATCAACAATAATACTCGATAATACATACGGATAGTTAACCTCAATTGTATTGAAGCACTCAGGAAGGTTGGCACAGTTTTTTCACAAATATTTTATCATATTAATTAGTATTGATTTAGATAATCAATTCGTATAATGAAAATAACTAGGTATATAATTATTTATTTTAAACAATAATTAAAACTCCTATATTTGTTTAAAAGGTAAATGTCATTGTCAGATGTCGTGGTCATTCAAAATTCTTGTTAAGCTGCTAAGCTAAGAATATGCGTGAAGTTAGCTTCACGCATATTCTATTTCTTTTTACTTGTAGATTGTCTTATTCCCATCTCGCTCGCGCACGCTATATCACACTGCCAATTTTGTGTCATAGGTGCGCGCGCATCGTAAAATTTCACTCTCATCAATTTTTCATAACGCGCCTAAAGAAGTACAACTTCAATAATTGTAAATTTATAATAATACATAACTTTAATCCGGTAAAAGCTTTTTTCTTTAAATGTGTAAAGGTTATGTTAATCAAAGACAATACTAGATCTATGCAACTTCCTCACAAGCGCAGCACACTTACGTCCCCTCGTAAGTGTCGAAGAAATCGCATTTTACGTCAAAATCAAACACGTTTTTGACATACGGGACACAGCGGTAAGACTTATCTATGATTATATAAGTTATTCGTTTCTTGTTTAATAAAACAACAATTTCAAATAACACGTCAGCTTCCTCTTAGGAAAGTAATTTTAATTAGCTTTAACACCTTTTACAAGTCAAGTTCAACATTATTCAGCTTTAACACCGTTAAAAATGGGTACATCGTTTATCCTTATTTCAAAGTAAAATGGTCTATTAGCAAAGAATGTAACCGGTGGTTGGAAGTCAAGACTGGCAGACATACCATTAACAACTGAAACAAAACACTGGAATTAGAATAAAATATAATAGAAAATTATCGAACAATTATTGAAAGAATGTTGTGTAATATAATAAGTCAAGGCCAGTAACATCCAATAAAAACATATTTCTTGTCATAATGAATTATTTCGTGACTTACCGTTGGCTGCTGCAGCTTCTGCGCCATCCTCATTGACTTCAATGAAAGCCTTCTGAATGGCATCAGTTATAAATAAGTCATCCCATTCAATTAGCATTTTACTTAAACGGGCTTGTCCGGGTTCAAATAGTTTCGTAACGTTCATCTGAAAAAATATTCAATTTTAAATTGGATTATTCTAATTGCCCATAAAAATGTAAGCAGAAGATTATTTAATGTAGTAACAATTTAAAACAAAGGTTTTGTGTGTAATGTTCCTTATATCGAAAGGCACAAGGGAAAGAAGGTGGATAGAATATATAGAAGCTTTAGTAGGAAGCGAATGGAGAAAGGAAGCAATAGACAGAGTTATTCAGAAAAAGCTGGAGGACGCCTTTACCCGTGAAGGGGTTCCGATCAATGGCACAGAAGCAAGTTAGGATAAGAGGATAACAAGAAAAAGAAAATTTATATTACAAATCTAAACTGTACTGTCAAGATAATAAACGGGCTTTGTTATTATTATGTTCGCCAACATAAATGAAGATTTAAAATCGGGAGTTAGGTCTAAGTATTATCTAAAAACGTTATAGAAAACACAAGTTTTAAAAAACTTTAGAAAATAATAAGTTACCTTTGATAAAACAAGTCTCAGGTTTGTTGTAGTTTCAATTTTGAACTTAGGAATTGTGACATGGACTAGTGTTTCGAACATGTTAACAATGGCTCTGTCGATTGCTGATGGGTCTCGTAATTTCTCCGCTAGCTGGATTATTCCATCGATTTCATTGGGAAGCACCAGTATCATGGATGCTTCATCACCTTCATAGAACATTTGGAGGATCTGTAAAATATGTTTATTACCTGTTAAGTACACAAAAGGTCCATGAACTTTGGTATTCGTACATGTGAATAAAATAAAAATAAGGTGTGTGCGTGTAACGTATATGCGCGATTGAAGTAAAACTTCTTTGGCGTTGATGGCATATATCACTGAAATGATTAAATATTAACTTAAATAAGAAATATCATATTAATATTCAATAACCTTGTTATTGAATATTATAGAACGTCGCAATCGTCAGAAAATTTATTATTAATTTACTTATTTTAAAAGTTATAAATCAATAAGTATATGTATGAGATATTCAAAAAACTTTGCAATTTAAAATATTTTTTTTTAAACTGTTGAATTTTTTTATTCACTTTTCTATTCTCGTGTACAACTTAGTTATTTTTATATAAAATAGACCAGATTTTTAGGATACTTAATTTGTTATTAATTTACTTCTTCCAAAATGGTAAATAACGAAATTAAGCGAAAAAACTGGCCGTATGTATAACAAAAGAAAAGCAAGCTAGGATGGGAACCTTCCCTCTATAGTGGAATTTTAATTTGGTCACGTTACTAGTATGGAAATTCATTTTAAATATAAATATATTAATAATAACATAATTACAAGAATCAGTATTAAATAAAACGAGTGCATGCTATCCTAGATAAACACTACTAAGAAACGGACTTAAATCAGTTCAAATGATGCACCACTAGATGGCGCTGACGGACTTATAAAACGCGCTATCGTTGTTACTTTTAAATAGCGGAAACTACACAGAATATAGTAAGCATTACTTCCGTCAGAAAAAAAATCTGATTTACTCCCTAGTCGCGCTTAAAGAAGTTTTACTTCAATGAATAAATTAAAAACAGCCTGTATTCGGGCAGCCCATTGCGTATGTTTAACAGTAGTAAAACACGACCTCCTACGGAGTGAAGGTCTCCTGCAAATTCTTCCATTTGTCTCTCATCCTCGCCATTATTTTCCAATCCTTCCCCGCTATCCCTATTATTGCACTTGGTTATTTAAACCAAGAGGTTTTACGGTATCTGCAAACTACAAGAGTTATAAAACTCTATACTTTAAACCTTACCTTAGCGTCTAATTCTGGAACCTCCGCGTAACTGAAATAAGATTTTTGGTACATCATCGGAACTGTTACTGATCTCTCTTTAGTAATATGGAACACCTGGTCGTATGTCTTGTCATGGTTGAACGGGCTCTCCCAGAGACCCTATAGAACATTAAATAAATAATTAAAAACAATTAATTAAATTACATATTATGTATTTATATGTACCTAGATTTTATGCTTGGAACTTTTAAATAGAACATTATAAGCTGACAGTTTAATTCTCAAAACTGCCAATTTAAATGTTGAATTATAACTTAAAAATATATTCTTAATATATAAAAATGAATCCCTATTTCCCTTAGTCATGGCGTCACGCGTGAACGGCTGGACCGATTTCGCGAATTATTTTTTGTTGTGTTTGTTATTGTCTGCAAACTGTTCTTATGAAAGAAATATTAAGGAAATTGCGCCGAAAATTAGATAATTTAAGAAAACTTGACCATCATATTAAGTAATCCTGACTTTTGTTACGATAGCAAATGTTTTTTTTTTTCAGTGCATAGCGGTTTTAAAATTCAAACTTTTTTGATGTAACCTTATGGCGTTTGACATAACATTGACAGAATTCGTGCTGCAAATATCGTCAAAAGGAGTTAAGAAAAATTTATATCGTTTAGAACAAATGCTTCGATTGGAGTTATTATACTGATAAAATTCATATAAAATAATTATATTGATAAAATACATCTGTTCCCGTGTCGGAATACCAACAAAACTATTTAATACACGTCAGAAAAACAAACAAAGAATGTTGTATATCATAAAGCATTAGAATAATAAAAATAGTTAATTATACCAATTCGAAATCAATATTCATAGTTAAGACAGGACAACGTCTGTCCCCTCCCCACCGCAGATGTCCATCCTGCGGGGTCCGAGCCTTGACGTGGCCGGGGAGGGCTTAGTAACTGGGGTGCAAGCCAGCACCTTGGTGAAGCGAATCGGATATAGAGGGGGGCCATTCTATCTAGCCCCAGCGGCGCTTCATGCGCGTGGTATGGCTGGCCTTTAAGGCTGGCGAGGCTCGTCGAATTGACGGCGAGCCCCTAACCTCAAGTTTCTGGCGCCCGGCGATGGGGTGAGTGGCCGGGGGAGTTCGGTCCCGAGGGCGTCCCAGGGTGAGCTGTCTTACCTGGATAAAAATTAAAGCGAAAATGAAGACAAATACTTGTAAAACTACCCCAGGCGGGTCAAATCCCGCCACCTGCTCGCAAGAGCCGGTGCAAAAAGTCCCACCGTACTCTGGGGGGACAATCTTCATGATTCCGGCGCTTTTGCCGAGGCGAGCGAGGAGAAAATCATTAGAAATAACACATGCGATAGTAGAATGATATCCACGGACCAACCAATAAACCCGGATCTGAGAGAATTACAAGAAGTGACCGTGGTGCCTGAGCGCACTCTATGTATTACGCCGGTGCCGAGCGTTTCCAGGGACATTTTTGGCGACCATCCAGTTGACGCGCCTACGTCTGATGCTGGAAGGTTATCGGATTCCTCCGCGGCATCTATGATCAGCGCCAGATCACTGGATTGTACAGACCCTACATATCCTAGATTCTGGAGTTCTCGCAAACGAACCAGGAGTGGCGAAGACGATGGCGACAGTACAATCAGCGAGTCGTCTGTTCGGACCCCACTAAAAGTTGCTACAACAAGAAGAGGAAGAGGCCGCCCACCAAAAACCAGAGGGTACATGGGCTTGGCGCCTGCTAGGTCTGCTTATTTAAAGGCCAAGAAAACGGAAAAGGAAGCCCAGGCTGAGGAGGAGATCCTCGCTTCATTGACTGAGCCGAGTAAACCCGCACCAACACCAGCGGCAATGAATGCAGAAGGGGAAATTTTGACGGCAGATCTAGCGCAGAGGCGCATCGAAGCTAATCTGCAAATGGTAGAGAAAGTCGCGACTAAGTCAAAAAATCTTAAGGGTACATTTGTCCACGCCCTCAAATCTGTCGCTAAATCTATTAAAGAGGACACAGAGGTACTCGCTCAAATGTCTGTTTCGGATGAGACGCGAGCTCTTCGAAGTGAAAACGAGCGGCTTCGAAACTTTCTGGAGGCGCTCCAAAAGAGATGGGAGAGTTGCGAGAGCTAATAAAGCAACGCCCTACAGATCCGGTACCAACACCGGACTTAGAGGACCTTGAGGCAAGGCTCATGAGCCGCCTTGTGGATAGGATCAATGCTAGAATAGAAAGCATAGAACCAAGACTCAACCCGGAGCCTCGCATACGACCACCTCTCTCCGCTGACAAGTATAAGCCGGAGGCTGTGGCAACAACGTCGGGGTCCTCCAAGGTTAGAAAGACGACAGCAGCGCCCACTTCGAATACAGTGGCAACTCAACCCGAGGACGGCGTGAAAAAGAAGAAGAAACCTAAGAGAAGGCAAGAGAATGTGCCTACAGGGACAACTGTCCCTAATGCTGCCCCTCTGTCACCACCGTGCCCACTGCCAGAGCTCCCCTCTACTAATGAAGCGTGGAATAAGGTGGTAAAGAAAGGATTGCGCCGGAAGAAGAATGAAGGTGCTCAACAACTTCCAGCACAACCTAAGAGACAGGCAATGGCAACAGCTGCACAACTGAAGCTCCGTACGCCCAGTTCCGCAGCAGTTGTTTTAACGCTTCCGCCGGATGCCGAAGAGAAAGGCCTTACATACGTAGCAGTCCTAAAAGAGGCGAAGACAAAACTAAATCTGGCTGAGCTTGGTATAGAAGCGGTCCGGTTCAGACGAGCTGTCACGGGGGCCACCATCATTCAGGTCCCCGGGACAGGTGGTGAGGAGAAGGCGGATATTCTGGCGTCTAGATTAAAGGAGGTCTATGGTGACGGAAGAGTCCGGGTTTCAGACCTGTTAAATCAACTGAGTTGATGATCTCGGGGCTGGATGAAACAGTCACCCCGGAAGAGGTCAAACAAGCCATTTGCTCTAAGGTCAGCTGCTCGCCGGACAATGTGAAGGTCGGTAGCGTCCGTCAGAACAGGACTGGCCTTTTTGCGGCATGGGTCAGGTGCCCAGTGACGGCGGCCAAAAAGCTGACCGAAGGAAGGTTATTAGTGGGATGGGCTTCCGCCCGAGTTGTTCTCTTGAGGGCCCGAGAACTGAGATGTTTCCGCTGCTTCCAGGGCGGTCATGTAGCAGCACGGTGTACTGCGGATATGGACCACAGTCACCTTTGTTTTCGGTGTGGTCAATCTGACCACCGAGCAGGGAGTTGCTCTGAAAAGCCGCAATGCGTTCTGTGTGCTGCGGCTGGCCAAAGAGCAAACCATCTACTGGGGGTAACGCGTGTTCGGCCCCCAGCAAAAAGATGCCCAGAAGGACGTGGACCGCGAACAAAACGGCCACTGGTGCCCCACCGATCGGGGACACAGAGCAAATGGAGATAACACCTGGTTCATAGATGGCCCTCCAAATCCTACAGGCGAACATCAACCACTGCGCCAAAGCTCAGGATCTGTTACTCCAGAGCATGGCGCAGTGGTTAATCAATATCACAATAGTATCGGAGCCGTATATGATCCCCCCAGAGGGAAAACTGGTTTGGCGACCGCAACGGTTTAGTTGCGATTGCCGTTTCGTTGCCTGAAGGCTTGCCTCAAGCCTCGCTAAAAGGAAACGGCTGTGTCGCTGTTAAACTAGAAAAAGTCGTTGTAATTGGAGCTTATTTTTCGCCGAACCGGAGTATTACAGAGTTCGAGGCCTTTCTGGCAGAAATGGGCTCCCTGGTGGAATGGGCTCGACCATTAAATGTTATTGTTGCAGGGGATCTCAACGCGAAGTCGTCTATGTGGAACTCTCCGGTAACCGAAGCCCGTGGCGATGCGGTGGTTGATTGGATCGCCACTCACAACTTGGTGATATTGAATCGAGGATCGGAACGCACATGCGTGCGAATGCAGGGCAGTTCTATCGTCGATGTAACTTTTGCATCCCCGGAACTAGCAAATCGCGTCTCCAACTGGCGTGTACTTACAGAGGTTGAAACGCTTTCGGACCATAGGTACATTCGGTGCCTGGTGAGTCCCCATCAACAGCTACCACCAGCAACTGGTAGATCAAATCAGCCTCCACCGGAAATAGGGCCAAAATGGTCCCGTAAAAAACTGGACTTTGACTCCCTGTCTTTGGCATCTTTGACAGAGGCGTGGTGCCCTAAGCCAAATACTATCTTAGCAGATAGAGAGGTGCAATGGTTCGGAGAGGCTTTGCGACGTATTAGCGACGCTGCAATGCCAAGGATCCGCCCTATTCCGCCCCGCCGACAAATGTACTGGTGGTCGCCTGAACTCACCCAGCTACGGACGGCTTGTGTAGTTGCCCGACGTCACTACACCCGATTACGTCGAAGACGCCTTGCTCCACACGATCCGGAAGAAGAAAGAAGGTGCTACGGCGAATACCAAGCAGCAAAATTAACTTTGCGCATTGCAATTGGAGAGGCCAAAGAGAAAGCTTGGGAAGATCTTTTACAAACTTTAGAGCTAGACCCATGGGGGCGGCCATATAGGCTAGTGATGACCAAGCTGCGCCCCTGGCTTCCGCCACTCACTACCACTCTAGAACCGGTGTTCCTGGATACGGTAGTCTCCGCACTATTCCCGGCTAACAGTTCGCATCCAACATCTCGCGACGACCTCCACTATGATGAGGAAGTCCCAGAAGTGACGCCTGAGGAACTCTCTGTTGCAATACTTAAGCTTCAGAGCAAAAGACAGCCCCCGGACCAGATGGTGTTCACGGGAAGGTCTGGGTCCATGTCCTCAATAACGGGCTGGAAGAGAGGTTTCGGGAGTTGCTAACCCATATTTTAAAGAACGGCCACTTTCCGAGTAGCTGGAAGACGGGAAAACTTGTATTATTAAAGAAAGAGGGTAAATCACCTGAGTCCCCGTCGGCCTATAGGCCAATTGTTTTATTAAATGAAGCAGGCAAGTTATTCGAGCGAGTGCTAGCATCCCGCATAGTAAAACACCTTACAACGGACGGGCCGGATTTGGCCGATACCCAATTCGGTTTCCGGCGCGCCCGGTCTACCATCGACGCCGTTGCAAGGCTAAGAGACGTTTGCGAGGAGACACTCGCGCAAGGAGGGGTGGTGCTGGCGGTGTCACTAGACATAGCAAACGCTTTTAACACGATTCCCTGGAATACCATTATAGACGGCTTAATCTTCCATGACGTGCCAGTATACCTCCGGCGCATGATAAGATCATACCTTTCGGCCCGTACCGTCATCTACCCGGGTCGGGGAGGTTGGAAGGAACACAGGGTTGAGTGTGGTGTTCCACAAGGGTCTGTTCTAGGCCCACTCCTATGGAATATCGGATATAACTGCGTCCTTCGTGGCTCACATCTGCAAGGCGTCAGCCTAATATGTTATGCCGACGACACACTTATCACTGCAAAAGGTCGTACATACAGAGAAGCTTGCATCCTCGCAACGGCGGGGGTGGCACAGGTTGTGGCGCAAATAAGGCGCATTGGCCTCCAAGTCGCCCTCGAGAAATCTGGGGCGGTCTGTTTCCACGGTCCAAGACGAGCTCCTCCTGACGGTACACAATTGGTCGTATGTGGTGTGCCCATAAGAGTAAGCCCCACTTTAAAGTATCTCGGGCTTGTCCTCGATTCTCGATGGACTTTTAAGGATCACTTCTCGGCACTTGCCCCGAAGCTCGCTACCACGGCTATGGCACTCTGCCGGTTAATGCCAAATCTTGGTGGGCCGAGTGCGGGGTGTCGCCGGTTATTTGCAGGTGTGGTCCGGGCGAAGGTCCTCTACGGATGCCCCATTTGGGCCGATTGTCTATTCGCTCAAAACAGGGCGATTCTAAGACAGTCGCAACGGGCGATGGCCATAAGGGTGGCAAGGGCGTACCGCACCGTCTCTTGCGAGGCAGCGTGTGTTATTGCAGGAACTGCCCCCTGGCACCTCGAAGCGGCTGCCCTAGCCAAGATCTATTGGCATAGGGCAGATAGTAGAAGTAGGGGTTTCGACCCCTTCCTGAGCACATAAACAGCTGGAGACGGGAAGCCCAAGTGACCGTCCTTCAGAAATGGATGGATGAGTTACAAGATCACAGGGCAGGAGTCTGGACAATTACATCTATACGTCCAGTGCTCAACTTGTGGGTAAATAGAAGATGGGGGGCACTCTCGTACCGACTCGTTCAGGTCCTCACAGGCCATGGATGTTTCGGTGGATACCTTCACAGGGTTGCCAGGAGGGAGGCATCCCCCATTTGTCACGAGTGTGGTTTCGCAGACGACACAGCGCAACACACTTTAGAGGTTTGTCCGGCGTGGAGCTCTGAACGTAGCCTATTAACCGCCACCTTCGGATTGGACCTGTCGCTTCCAGTCATAGTTAAAGCTATGATGGAGGCTGACAGTGACGGCCCATGGAACACTTTCAAAGCGTTCTGTGAAGCCGTCATTACACTTAAAGAGAATGCGGAGAGGGTTCGGGAGTGTAACCCAGACGCCGACCCTCAACGCAAAAAAGGCCTGGAAGGAGACGTCGCGATTACGCACGTACTCCATTGGGACCTTAGGACAGGATTGGGCAACGCAGAATATGTGCTCACACAGCAGACGCTCATGACGGAGGCACGGATTAAGGGAAACTGTTACCGCGCCTACCGTCCATAGCGAACAGATGGGGCTGTTGGGTTTTAGTGGGTAGGTGTCCATTGCACCATACGGACTGACTCCCACACTCCCTGCGCCACTTTTAAATCGTTGCCCCGGCGCGGGGGTCAGTAAATTGATTTCCCAACAATAAAAAAAAAAAAAAAAAAAAAAAAGGACAACGTCTGTCGGGTCCGCTAGTTATTTTATACATATTTTATTTTCTTAGCTTAGAATTTACTTGTGACAAAATATTTCATAAATAACACAGGAACATTATTATTTATCTTTTTTTTATTATTATATTAATGTGAAATAAAATAATATTTGGGAATCAAATGCACATGCGCTAATTAAAGACTTAAGATAGTACCGGTGACCCCAGAGCATTAATAGCATATCGCAATACAGCGAGGAAATGCTGCCAGCGTTAAAGGTCCACTGCCACAGGGACTAAACTTTTTAAATTTGTTATGATTTTCTTTTTAATAAATCTTTATGAATACTATGTAGATAAAGAAAATTCTGATATTCATTGTTATGTTTAGGTTTTAATAAACGATTTATATAACTAATCGTGAAAATAATTAAAGACATTATAATTTACGTGTGAACGCGCACGGGAATCGCTTTGTTATTAAAGAATTCAGCCTAAATAATGGGGCGCTCTGTGCCATATTTTTCGTCTATCGAGCAACCCACGCTTTTTCACAATAATACCAGTATTTTTTGTTCATTACCATTTTCAGCCTAAATTAGGAATTATTTTTCACTTTTAAGTTTGATGTGCTTTAAAAGCGTGTTTTTTAGTTTTTTTTAACTATTAATTATTTTTTATTTTTTAGTTAAATTTTTTTATTTTTTTTCATTTTTTTTTCGGATTATTGCATTGTCATCGATCTTTGACAGGTGCGGAAAGTTTGAATTAAATCTGTCCGTTAAAAGTGGGTCAAAATCGAGTCCGAAGGAGTCGATAACATACATACATACAGGTGAAGCTAATATAAAGCGTGTAAAAAAAGAAAGCGTATTTTGTAAGATCCAAGGGTTAAGCCACAGTTGAGATTTAGTGTTAATCTCGTATGTCAAATACATATTGGATTTGTCATAAAGAAGTCATCGAAGTTTCGCGTACAGACGGCGGGAAACGACTGTGTATGGTCTAATAAAACTGTGATGAAAAATGACGATGTACATTTTCAGTTCACTCCATGGAGAACTTTCGCCGAGTCATTTTAGAAATCTTGCTGTATTACTTTATTTTCTATTGTTGTTAAATTCGCGGGTGCTTAGCAGACCCATGCGACTTCTTCAATACAAAGTCCTGTCATGAGTTGTGTACTGAGATATCACGGGCTACTCGATTGTGAGGAAGTTGCATGGTCATTTTCACACGTGGATATCGTTTCTACATCATATATTCATAAGTATCTGATGGTCCTCTTTGTAACTTTACAATAAAATTTAAAAGTAATTGCATATTTTAAATGTTATTTTACCTTAAAGTAGATAGCGTTGACAAGAACAGCATGAGTATTTTCACCCAAGGAATACGGGTTAACGAGATCTTTAATTTTTTTATTCGTTTGGTCTTCAACCTGTAATTAATGTTTGTGTTAACCCAATTGCAACATGTCCATTTTTGTATGAAATTCACAAAGAGATAACGATTTTAATTGCATTGTAGATTTGTATGGATTAATAGATTTTAGGCTGCTTGCCTAATGCATAACCCAAACCTCTGCCAAAAATTTATAAAAATCTGACTATATGTCCTGGCAGAAAAATCAATTATCTAACCACTACAGCTGCCAAATCTGTATAGAAAATCTACGAGAGACAGAGAGAGAGAGACACTACAATTCTGAACAAAAATTAATGAAAACCCGTATTAAAAGATGTTTCTACGAAACACAAAATTTTATTAAACCAGACTATATACTCTGGCAGAAAAATTTATGTCTGAATTATGATAGTTTAGAATTTTGAAATTATTGTTGTTAAATGTATTTATTACCCAAGCGTTGATTTCGTTAGCGGTTTTCTGTGCTTGAGTAAAGTCTACATTTTTGAATTCGGAATCGAATACGTCACGGATGGTCGTTGCAAAGTTTTCATATACTTCAGATTTGGACGTGACGTATATTTTACTTGCTGTTTTAAGTTCCACTCCATTTATGGTTTTTAAGTTTCTTTCGGCCTCTGAAAACGCAGCTATTATCTGAAACATTTATAAAAAAACGTTAACTCTTGAGATGAAAGATGCATTAAATAAAAATAAAAATAAAATAAGATATGTTTATTATGGAACATATGATACATGTAACACTTATTCCACGTCATTAAATTTCAATTTTTAGGCATCCCTACTCATCGGCAAAGAAGACAGAGGGTGTAGGCCGAGAGAAAAAGCCGGCGTAAAAACTCTCGGTACTCTTTTAAAATAGCAAATCATCAAACAACACTTATTTTAAAACAAATATCGCAAATTAATTAGAAGTAGCCTGTCTAGCACTAGTCCCATTTTATCAACTAGATAATCGTTAACTTTATAGTAAGCCTTTTTACACAGCTTTTCTTTAATACATTTCTTAAATTTATTAAAAGGCAGAGATAAAAGAGCCTCTGGGATTTTATTAAAGAAGAGTATACTCTAGTCTAGTACGGAAATTGCAGCCTGCGTTTGTTCAGAGTATTAACATTGTGCGTATGTTCTATTCTAGTAAACATATCACTATTTTTGTATAAATACATCATATTTTCATAAATATATTGCGAGGGAAAGGTAAGTATATTAATTTCCTTGAATTTATCTCTTAGAGATTCCCTACATTTTAAATTATTGATTGCACGAATAGCCCTCTTCTGCAGGATGAAAATAGTTTCGACATCAGCAGCATGACCCCATAATAATAAGCCATAAGTCATTAAGCTATGAAAGTAACTAAAATAAACAAGTCTAGCTGTATCGACATCAGTCAGTGAGCGAATTTTTTTAACCGCGTAGGCTGCAGAACTAAGCCTCTTCGCTAATCCGTTAATATGAGGGGACCACTGAAGTTTTGAATCCATGGTGAATCCAATAAATACAGTTGTATCATCCAGATTCAATTCCTCACCGTTTATAATTGGTCTAGTATCCATAACCCTTGCATTTTTTGCACAAAATTTTATGCATTTTGTCTTTTTTGCATTAAATAGAAGGTTATTCATACTAAACCAATGGACAATCGAAGATAGAGCATTGTTCACATCGTCAAAATTCGTTATTTGTCGTTTGATTTTAAAAATCAAGGACATTGCATCAGCAAACAAAACGATGTTTTTTCTCTACCATGAAAGGTAGATCATTTATATAAACAAGAAAGTGGAAAGGGCCAAGAATTGAGCCCTGTGGTACCATGTCTACTGCCAACCCAGAGGACCTCTTACCATTCACTTCAACCTTCTGAGTTCTACCGTGTAAATAGGAATCAGAAGTTTATATCTTCGGTACATTTAAATGCTTGTTTAGTTAATGATATAGGGAAGGATAGTCCGTCAAACGTCTTTTTGGGTTCCAGATCTCTCTGGACCTTGAAAGTTAAATGACTTTAACGATTCACGACTAACGGCTGTAAGTACAGCTGCATTGAATTTGTCTTACAATAAAATTAATAGCTATAAAATGAAAGGTCACTAACTAACTCTAGTATAATATCAGCATTGTTAAGAGATTGAGTATTTTAAATGAAAAAATACTAGTAATAACTAAAATTGGCAGAGTAATATTTTTTTTTATTTTATAAAATTTATGTTCACTAGTCATGTATTTTAGAATTCATTGTTACTTATACTAGAGAAAATGCAGTATATAGTGATGTACTTTAATAAATATACTTTAAAAGTGGACTCAATATAACATATTTAACTTATATAAATAAAAAAATAAAATTATAATTAAAAGAAACTTGAATCCCTCGAATAGCCTTCACTTACCGCATTATCGTTGGGCATGCCAATGGCCTTCAAAAGTTGGTGGTGCGATTCACCCTCAGAGGCCAAGGCGAGCTGGGCCAATGGGGTCAGTACAGAGTATCCTGATAGCACTACACTCTGTTGTGGATTATCCTTCACCATTTCCTGTAAAGAACGTATTTAGTATTTTAATAAACTGCAAAGCAATCGTTATTTCATTATTTACATTTCTCGACGCTTCGAGTGCTTACAGTTATGGTCAGTCGTTCAAGAAGTTTTTTTTTTAATAGTAGGCAAACGGGCAGGAGGCCCACCTGATGTTAAGTGATGCCGCCGCCCATTGACACTCACATTTCCAGAAGCAAGTGCGTTGCCGGCCTTTCAAAAATTGATACGCTCTTTTCTTGAAGGACCCTAAGTCGAATTGGTTTGGAAATACTTCAGTGGGCAGCTGATTTGGCTGTCTAGCTTTAAATAGAAACAACAGACCATATTTATTTTTAATAATAAAAATAAGGCTACATTAAAATATTTATATTCGATTTGTATTATTACTTCAATTATGACCTATAAACACTGAATGACGAGCTCGGTTCAGCCTGTTATTTTCTAAGGGGAGGTTATTGCCTGTATTATTTTTCTTTTGTGTCTAGTCTAGAATAGACAGGTAAAATCTTGGGGGAACACATAACTTCCTCTATATACGCCTATGCACTAGTTGACTACTACATATCATTAAATTTTAAGATTGCACGACATGTTTTCTATTTGCGGTACGTCTGCGGTCTACACCTTTCCATTATCATATAATAATACATAACAAGCTTTTAATGCCTTGCTACGCGTAATACTAATTGTTTCGCTGTAAATCAAATCATGGACATCTCGGTCAAGTTTTGAATTAAAAAATATATTACATTACAAAATACATCCAATTGATTGTTTCCTCTTTAAAAATCATGCATTTCAATAAAGTCGCCGATTTTTAGGTCTTATTTATCCTTTTATTTAGCTGTATATCTATATTAAATGGATCTCAGAAATGCCGATTTCCTCACGATGTTCAACTTCATAGCGTGGGTTTGAAACCGTCCTCGCAGAAGATAATATATAATTAATTCGTTGGTATGGCTAGGTTTAGTTTAGTTAACATTGCAAGGACACGGTTATAGGAGTTAATTGAATTCTAAAAATACATCACGACACATCTTAGACATTGAAGCTAGTATGAGGTACGATCAAAACAAAATCTAGCATAAGTTATATGAATAAATGTGTTTAATGTTTATGTATTATAACAATGCATTACAATGTGTAAGATTTAAGAGAGATAACCGTGTCAGGGTGTCCATAACAAATAAAAAAAAAGGGTGCGTGTACTTGTGTACGCGCGTAAGAAGTTATACTTCTTTGGCATTAGTCAAAATAGTTTTTGATTGTATGCAAATAATTAAATACAATTAAGTAATGTCAAAATTATGTCCAATGCCGTAGCATCTTCCGTGGGCAACTTCATTCTGTTAATTTTGTGTCACGGTGCGCGCGCATCGTAAAATTTCACTCTCATCAATTTTTCATAACGCACCTAAAGAAGTATAACTTCAATAAAATAAATTGTGCGTGTACTAGGTGTACACACGTAAGAAGTGAAACTTCTTTATGATTTTATTTTTCGAAAAATTATCTACTATATGCAACTTTACAGAAATTCGTTAAATTAGATAAAGTTTAACAAAAGGCTTTTATTATTATAGACATGAATACAAATATTTCATTTTACCTTATTACTACGAAGATTATTATAGAATTTCAATAATTGTAATAGAATTATTACTATCATTGAAAAACGTGACGATTTGCTACAAAATTTCTCCCATACGTCGATAAAGAAGTTTCATTCCAACGCCGATAAAGAAGTTTGACTTCAAAAAGCAACATGGCGCGTAACCGAAAAATGTGATGCGTAACGAAAAAATGTTACACTACATTTTTTTCCAACCTCGATAAAGAAGTTTCACTTCAAAAAATTATTTTAAATTACAATTTTGATTTTTTTTAAACTGTTTACAACAACTTCTCCCAATTTTTTTTACCAAAAAGCTGTGTGTGGGGGTATATATTATCAATGCTAATAATTATTTCGACATTTTGCTTATATTCTCTTTTATAAGAATCATTTAGAGTATAAGATGACCTATTGTACGAGCCAAGGCTGTACATTTTGATCACTCAGGCTTAGCTTAGCTTTATAAGCATGGCCATTTTCTAAATCGTCGGAGTTACGCCCCGAGAGTATAGACAGACGAAGGCACTCTCTTCAACTGTTACATTGCATTCATTCGTTACATAGCAATTAACATTTCATTATTTATATTATATTCTATTGTTGTCGCAAGTGGTTGATATAAAGTAAAAAAATCCTCTATTATTTAAAGCACCCCGATGAGTCAGGATCGAACTATTAATAGCTTTATTTAAATGTTGAATTCAAGATATTATAGTAGAAAAGCATAATCATCAATTACACAGACGTAGACATTTCAAAACCCATAACTGTTATCGGAGTTATGCATTTTACTCATTTGTGACATTTATTTTTGAGGTTATACTTCTTTAGGCGCGTTATGAAACATTGATGAGAGTGAAATTTTACGATGTGCGCGCACCGTGACACAAAATTATCAGTATGAAGTTGCCCACGGAAGATACTATACGGCATTGGACATCATTTAAAAACAACATTCGAATAATAATTAAATTTATGTTACACTTAATGTAAGAGAATAATAATAAATATTTATTAATTTAATTTTTCAAATGTAAACTGAACTTTATTGACTATAAAGACCCCTTTTCCAGTCTTTGATTATTTAATTGTAATTAATTATTTCCATGCCATCAAAAACTATTTTTAATAATGCCAAAGAAGTATAACTTCTTACGCGCGTACATAAGTACACGCACTCTTTTTTATAATATTTTCTCAAAGTTCAGTAGTTTGAAAGTTTATTCATTACCGGAATAATAATAATAGCCTACTTTTAATTCACATTCACATTTAATTCAGATTTACATTTAAACACATCTCTTTCATTTTCTTGTAACATAATATATACTGTTGATATAATATGATGTGGCGTACCTACTTTAATAAATAAATGAATAATTATGAAAATACATAATTTCTTTTTGTAATAGATTATATAGATATATAAAATACTCACATAAAACATTCTCGATGTAAACGCATCATTACCGCTTTTGAGGTCTTTCGACACATCCACGGCGATCGTGACGGCGGCCACAGAAAACACTGAAAAATATTAGCGAATTTTTAACACTCAATATTTAGTTCATTTCAATTTTGGATAACACAGGTCAACTGGTAAATCAAAGTTAAAAGCTTTGTTAGAAATTAAATATTAAAAAGGAGCGTTAATTAGACGTACATTTGAAGCAAGATTATTATGGTTTAGTTAAAATAGTGTGACAGATTTTTTTTGTTTTTATTATTATTGCTTAATATATTATAAATAAACTAGAAGTACAGAAAACATCAAAAAAACACTATGGGGTCTAACGTTGGGGCCGGAAGGGCTAAACTACAGTACTTCCTAAGAAACTAAAGAGTTAAAAAAAACGGTTTAAAAAAAAGGTTTGATAATTGTCGCTTCAATGGCTATTAATTCAGGGTATTGAACATATAACACTTGACATTGTTCTTCCAGCAGTCATATAACTGATCTTTGGAGTCTGGGAAACCTACCTGCTGCTCTACCTTCAAGTGTAAGAAATATAAAAAAAACTAAAAAAAGAAAATATAGTGGATAAAGTGCAAGAAGTGCATAAACAAATCTAATAAAATTAAAGAAACTTAATCTAAAATAAAAAAAAGTGTGCGTATACTAGTGTACACACGTAAGAAGTGAAACTTCTTTATGATGAACTTATTTTTCAAAAAATGATCTACCATATGCAACTTTACAGAAATTGGTTAATAAAGTTAAATTAGATGAAATTTAACAAATTTTTAGCTTTATTATCATAGACACGGATACAAATAATAAAATTATTTCATTTTGAATGCCTTTGAATCTCTTCGAATCAACCATGGTAGGGACAAGAAAAAGATAACGCGTAACGGAAAACTGTGACGCGTAACCGAAAAATGTGCCGGTAATTTTTTTTTCCAACGCCGATAAAAAAAGCTTCACTTCAATACAAAAATAAATAAACTTAATACAAAACCATTAATTGTTAATTGAACCAAAAATACTAAATATATGTAATTAGTATTTAAATAGAAAAAATAACTTACAATAAAATAAAGCGAGCTTCATAATGCCAGTCGATCCGTCCTCTTGCCGGCCACACTCTAACCTGTTTTACAAAGGTTTACTCTCTTTAAATAGATCTCAATGCGTGATAGTAATTCATAGGGTGCGTCCACATCTCGCGAATATGCCGCGAATGTGCAGCTCATGAGCAGTCACGGCAATGGTAGCCGCGTTAAATTTCTTTTTATGGACAGATCCTTTATAGCCACTGTGTGAGACCAGTTTTTATAGAGCTCTTGCTTAAGACGGGAAGCCTCTTTGCAAGAATTACCGAACCATGGCCGCGATTTACCACTAATCGGAACCACAGAGTATGGGATATAGAGTTCCATTGCTTGTAGCACCACATCCGCGACAGACTCAGCGCTGGCGTCAAGACCCTTGAAGCAGACTTGTGACCATGGGTATGCTGCAAAGAAATAACGCATGTCATCCCAATTGGCCGATTTGTAATGCCAGACACGACGGCATTTTTTAATTGCCATAACGGTAGGCACCAAGCAGTGGTCGGAGGACCCCAGTGGGGCATCCACAGTTACCTCATAGAAGCCTGGATGAGAAGTCAGCATAAGATCTAATAGCGAAGGCTGATGGTCAGCTCGGTCTGGTATTCGCGTAGACGAAATTATGGAAGCCTCTTCCCGAATAGTCGGTCGTACGAGAATTCAACCACTCAGAATGAAGGGATTTCATTACATTTACATTGAAATCACCCAGTATAACGACTTCAGCAGGCGAAAGAGACAGAAGGGAATCAAGTGCAGTTTGAACATGTTCTATAAATCGATCAACTTCGGTGTTGCCGCTGTGTGACCTGTAAAGGCC